ACGTCTCAGAGTTCAAGGCGGCAGAATGGACTTGTCGTTACTAACAGCGCGCGGGCGAGCTACACCACGATGCCTCTGCCTCATCACACGCGACGTCTGCCGAGTTGGAGCGCGCAGCACAATCGCGTGCACGCTCACACGCGACGTCTCCGAGTTGAGCGCAGGCAAGGCAACGGCGTGTACGCTCAGCGACCGACGTCTCCGAGTTGAGGCCGCAGGCAGTCGACGCAGGGCGTTGATGCACGCTGCAGCTACCGACATCTCCGAGTGTGAGCTGGGGGCAGCAGCAAGCGCGTGCACGCTCACACCGTACGTTCTCCGAGTTGAGCTGCAGGGACAACGGCGTGCACCGCTCACACCGACATCTCCGAGTTGAGCGCGGCAGCACAAACGCGTGGCACGGCTCACACCGCCCGGTCTCGCGAGTTGAAGCTGGCAGCATCAACGGCGTGCAACGCTCACACCGGGACGTCTCCGAGTTGAGCCGCAGCACAAAACTTGTTGTTCTTGCGGGTCGATCACCTCCTCGGCTGATGTTGACAGTGGCGGGCAACGGCGGCGGCACGGTTAACGAGGCAGGCGCGACGTCGCCAAACCCCGGCCCTGCTCTTCAGCTGGAAAGACGAGACGCGTCTGCGAAGGGGCGGCGCTCCCGGACGCCACGTCGCTCACCGTGCAGCGCCCACGTCTGCACGCGACTGTACTCGCTGCTTCATTGAAGAACGCCGGGCACGGCTGCAAGTAGCGGCTCGAGGAAGGCCTTCGGCGATCATGTCGTGGCTGATGGGCAGATCGCCGGTGCTCTGCAACGAATGGCACGTGCGGGCGTCATGTAATGATGGCACTGATGGCATGCCGGCGTCACGTAACGATGGCAGGCGTCACCGTAATGATACAAGAATGGAGTGATGTTAAGATAATAGTTGGAGCGATATAACAATTTAATGACGTAACGATCGAGCGATGTAAGCGATAAAGCAACATAACAATCGTATTGATGTACGCCTTAAAGCAGATGAATGACGTAAGCAATGGAGCCTCTCTCTCTCTCTCTCTCTCTCTCTCTCTCTCTCTCTCTCCCTTCTCGCTCTCTCGCTCTCTCTCCCCCCCCCTCTCCCTCTCTCTCGCGCGCGCACTGTGTGAAACTGGTTTCTCCCACAGTCGCGCGGGTGTGAATCATGGCTACAGTTTCACGAAACCTATAACTGCGCTTGACGTGGCTTTCCGAAAAACGCAACTGCGACGCTAAAACGTTTATTGCGCCCGGATCGGCGCAAAGCGGTAGCAGTAGCGCGCGAGAAATACACTGAAGCCGTGACTGACATGCAAATTCCTTTTTGTGCGTGCGCCTAGCATGAAAATGCAATACGCTACTAAACGAGACAACTTTACCACTTGCTACAAAGTGCAAATGAACTGTCCACATGCAGATCATAAACCCTCAATAACCTTCAGGGGTTAGCGGAGCGGCTAGACTACCTCTTCATATTTATCACCCCTACGTGAACATCGCTTCAACGAAACTGCTTGACAAGTGAAACAGCTCAGCCTTGAGGCCGTAACACGCAGACCTACTGCGAATTGTAACTCTGCGCATCTCCGCAAGACGTCGCTCCTGTGCGTCTTACATCGACAATAACACGTAGAGATACCCGAAGCGACTTTCCGCCGACGCCACGGCCCTTGGTTCAATAACCAGCTGGCTATTCATTACTCGTACTGTACGACGGGCGGAATAATGACTCTAATGAAGACAAACAGTTCTCCACCCGCCCAGCAGATGGCCCTGCTAACCCGCATATGATTCCCTGCCCACCTCCCTCCACCCCACCCCCACATTACGTATTACAGATCGATAAGTGTGCCTTTGTGGAAAGACGCATCATGACTCATCGCAAGCAGTTTTAATGGCATTTTGTCTGCCTCGCTGCCGCAGCGATGCGTAGAGTTCGCGACATCGATATGATACGCACGAAAAATAATGTTGACTCGGCGTGATTCGCGATAGGTAGTCACAATGAATGACGCTCTGCCTTCACTACGAGGCTAAGTGAGATAAAAACAGACTTGTGACTGGCACGTAATTAGCAGTATGCACTAAGATCACAATCACGATTCCAACATCACCCGATTCATCAAAACTCGACGAGTTGACAGCGACATGAAAACTAGATGAATTATTTGCATAATTCCGCATAAAATTCCCATTACACGATATGTAGAATATATTTAGATTGAAATTGCAAAATGTAAATAAATTACATAAACTAGGTCATCGGAAATCCTTCAGCTGCTGCTACCATTGCCTGTACTTGCTTTTTATCTATGACATATTGTCCAAGACTCTCTTTCTCCTGCACCAGCTCCCATTCTATGACTTATTGATTTAAACCTATATCCCTGCACTAGTTTTCTTTCTACGACACACTGATTCAGCCAACCATTGCTATGGAACAGTTTTATCCTATATTATGCAGTAGTTCCGTTTCTTTGACACCACTTTCAGACCCTCCTAATATAATACACTTATTTCCTCTTCTCCATGTCACGCAGTTTCACACATTCCTCTCTTACACTAAATTTCTTCTAATACTGTTCTTGATCTGTAAATTGTAATGCTACCATAAATCAACACTTGTTATAAAATCACTAAGCTCAGAGCTCAATGGTACTAACAATGGAGCGATGGAACGATAGAGCAACATAACAATGTAATGATGTACCCTTAGAGCAATGTAATGACGTAACAATGGAGCGATGGAACGATAAAGCAACATAACAATGTAACGATGTAACATGGGCCCATCTAAAGACGTGGTTGCTGCAACATGCGTGAGAAGATTACAGTGATGAAACGTAGGGAGAACGGTGACTATGAGACAACATACAATGGTGACAGCAAGACAAGGTACGAGTGTGGTGACCGCGAGTGAAACAATGACGGCAGTGAGGGGAATTCGTCCGCAAAATGAAATGCTCACGAATGCACTGGGATAATGGTGAGGGAATAAAAGCACTCATGCACGAACTGGAGAAATGTTAGCAAATGATAATTACACACTCATTTTACTGCATCTGATAAATTCATTAACCAAATTTAATTGAATAATTTATAATTAATAATGTCCATTATGGATGCAATAAATACCCACTAAAGAAGTCAATAAATAACACAGCAGAGCTTATAAGAATGCACGAGAATTTCTAATGCTAGCGTTATTAATTTTACTGCTAGACAATGCCAATGACGTAAAAGTTGAGTAGTTATCGAGAAAAAAATTGACTCAGTAGATGGTAGCACAGGCAAATCTTACCGAGAATTGCCTCTAACGTGTAGTACGGCTGCTGGCGAGTCACACGCAGGTACTTCTGCAGTGCCCTAGCCAGCGAGGGAAACACCGCCTGAGCTGCCTCTGTCGGATCCATCGGAATAGCTGGACCTGGAAAATGTTAACATCATTGTGGTTTTTTATACTCTACTACTTTTATTATATACGATATACTTATATACATACTAGTTTTTTATTTAAGACAAGGGATCTGTGGACACATTACAAACACTCAAAAGCAGGGTACGAAATAGGGTATTTTGGTATCGATTGATTCCGCGAAATCTGCTGGTTGTGTGTGCTGCGCGGGGTTTGCAGCGCGCGCTCTCTCTCTCTGTCTCTCTCTGTCTCTCTCTCTCTCTATCTCGAAATTTAAAAATCTATCTCTATCTCTATCTCTATCTCTATCTCTATTCTTATCTCTTCTCATCGCTTCTATCATCATATCTCTATCTACTCATGTCATAGTCCTAAGTCTCTATTGCTTATCTCTATCTCGTAATCTCAATCTCTATCCTGCTTATTTATCTATCCTATTTCTCTATGCTTCTATCCTATCCCTTATCTCTAGTCTCTTATTCTCCTCTCTCATCTCATCTCTCGCCTCCTCGTTCTCATCTCCTGCTGGTCTCAGTCGTCTCTCTCTTTGCGTCGGGTCTCCGGGTCGTCTCTCTACTCTGCGGGTGCGGTCGCTGGGTGCAGGCTCTTGACGCCCTCGCTGGCTGTCTTGCGGGTGGGGGCGTGCGGAGGTGCCGCTCGCGGTCCTCTTCCGGCGCTCGCCTCCCGCTGTCCTCTCGCTCGGCGGGCGGCGGGGCAAGGGCGTGGTGGAAAGCTGGTTGTTCTCGGGGCAGCAGGGTGGGACGGCGGCGCGTGGTGTGAATCCAGTGCTTACAGTGGTTCACGAAAAGGGCCTATGAAGGCGTGCGGGAGGCCTGAGCGGTGCTGTGGTCGCTTGGAAAAGACGCAAGACTGCTCGGGACCGCTAAAACGTGTGGTATTTGAGCTGCCCCGGAGTCGGCGCGCAAAGCGGTCACGCCCTAGAGCGCCCGCCGCAGGCAGGAAGTAGGCTTCACTGGAAGCGCCTCGGAGTAGCACTGGAGCAATGTCATGAAGTTCCTTGTTGTTCGTGGGCGTGCGCCTAGCAAAGAAAAGTGGCGAATAAGCTAGCTGAAACGAGACATACTGGTGATGCGCGCGACTTGGTGCGGTGACGAGGAGAGTGCAGAATGAAGTGCTGTCGCAGCATGCCAGAAGTGTGCAGTCAAGCCGGGCTCATAACTCTCAGGGTTGAGGGACGGGGAGTACGGGGCGGTAGGAGGTGTTAGCCTCTTTCATATTAATCGGACCACCCGGTGTAGCGGGGTGAAGACATCCGCTTCTGCCAACACAGAACTGGCTTGGAGGCAGGTGAAACAGGTCTCAGAGCGCTTGAGAGGGCTGTAAAACTGCCAAGACTCTACTGCGAAAAATTGTAGACTCTGCGCCATGGCTCCGGGGGGCAAGACGTCGCTGGCCTGGTGCGTCTACAGGCGCGAGAGAGGTACTAGCGTGAGGACGGATAGAGGGCGGGTGGGGCTCCGGAAGGAGCTGCATACTGCGGGCGGCGCCGGACGTCGCCACGTACGCGCCTAGTCGGTGTGCGCAATAACTCAGGCTGAGCTTATCGTTACATAGATAAGATACTGTTCGTAGCCTGCGTACGAGCGGGTCAAGAGAATGACATGACCGTGGCCTAGAATGGAAGCGGAAAAACAGGTTGCTCGCGCACGCCGCGTGCGGGGAGAGGGGGGCCTAGGCAAAGAATGCCGGGAGCTTGTCTGAACGAGGGCGGATAGTGCAGTCCTGCCGGCGGCCGCGAGGGGGCTGTGTGCGGCCATTCACACCCCCACACCAGGTCCCCACATTTACTTGTATCTATCACGGAACGATAAGGGTGGTCCTTTTGTGGAAGACCAGGAGGCGGCGCAAGCGACTGCATGGGGCATCATGGCGACATTCAGACGATCGCCAAGCAGTTTAGATCGGCATTTTGTCTGCCTCGGCTTTCGCAGGCTGATGCGTAGACACGGAGTTACGCAGAGGGAAATGATTCCGATCACTGAATCACATCGACACGAGAATAAATAAATGGACATGTCTCGGCGGTGCATGCGCGGATTGAGGTCAGTCACACAATGGACAGGACGCTCGTTGCCTTCACCATAGCAGGCCGTAAGTTGAGTTGAAAAACAGTAACTTGTGACGGGCACGGACGTAATTAGCAGTTCATGTCTACTGTCAAAAATGCACAATCACCTGATTCCAGACCATCACTCCGATTCAATCAAAACTCGCGAGGTTGACAGCGACATGTAAAATCTCAGATGAATTATTATGCACTAAGAATTCCGCATAAAAACTTCACCCATTACAACGAGATGTAGAATATGAGTTTAGATTGAGAGATTGCAAAATGTAAATAAATTTACATTAAAACTAGGTCATTCGAAAAATTCCTTCAGCTGCTGAGCGCGACGCATTGCCTGATGTACTTGGCCTTTTTTATCTATGACATATTGGTCCAGGAATCTCTCTGTTCTCCTGCACTCAGCTCCATTAATAGACGTGCGGAAATTTAAACATATATCCTAGCACTAAGTTTTCTTTTCTAACGATCACGACGCTGAATTCAGTCCAACGCTCTATTGCTTATGGAACAGTTTGTTGTGTTATAGGGATCTCTACTAGTCTTGCAATGATAGCTAGGTGCCGTTTGCTTGACACCAATTTTCAAGACTCCTCCTAATAAGTAATACACTTATGTCCGTCTTCTCCTATGTCACCAGTTTCACAACATTCCTGCCTTCTTAGTCTATACACTCAAATTTCTTTTAATAGTAAGCAGCCGGATGGTATTTAGATCTGTATATTGCTTACCAATAAATTCACCACTTGTTATAAAATCACTAAGCTCAGAGCCTCAATGGACCGCGGCGAAGACGACAACGCGTTTAGTTTATATCCTAGATGGACACGGGACACGGTCTCGCACTAGCTACGCACACGAGGAACAGACACCCACGATCTGTGACCGCACGGACGCACACTAGACAACAACGAGGACCGACCACACAGACACATAACATCCACCGCACGCGCACAGACATATAAAGGTACATGTGACCGACGCACACAGACACATCACACGCGCCCTGTACAATGGGTACAAGCGACGGGTTAAAAAAGGTAACCGACCATGCACCGCACGGATGCACACACCAAACCACACACACACACACATCGCACAGACACAGCCAAGCAGCACACACACAACAGCCAGGCGAGCACATGACACGCACGCATGGGCACAGTGTCGGAGACAGCACACCAGCACACACATACACACACACCGCTACGCATTCGCACGCAGACAAGCAACGCTACGGTCCGCGATCACGCATTGCAGCAGTGATCGGGGTAGCGTTGTAACTACTAGCCGGATCAGTTATGCATCCGCCTGACGGTCTCGTGAAGGCTTCCTCTCGGGATCCGTAGAGACCATCTCGCTGCATTCTCGCAGCACGACATTCACCACATTCGCCTCGTAACTCACAGCTCCTTCGAAAAACCTGCAATGTTCACGTAATGCTCTGTCTATCGGGCTGAAAACACGAGCAATCATGCGTCGATCATAAGTGCGACCGAGCGCGTGAAACAGCGGGTCCGTGAATGACTGTGCGGTGTGATGTGTGTGTGTGTGTGTGTGTGTGCAGTCGTGCGTAGCCGTTGTGTGTGTTGAGTGTGATTTCGTGTTGTGATGTGCGTTAGGCTATGTGTTTGTGTGGGTAGTGCGCGAGACCAGCGCACCATTGTTGTGTGCGCGCGCTGCAAGGTGCCGTGCGTTGCGTGCGTGTGCGCTGCGGTGTGCGTGCGTGCGATCGTGTGTGCGTGCGTGCGTGCGTGTGTGTGTAGGTGTGTGTGTGTGTGTGCGCGCGTGTAGTTGCATGTGCTCACATGCGTGCGTGCGCGCGCGTGTGGAAGGGGATGCGTGCGTGGTGCGTGCATCAATCTGTGTGTGCGTGCACGCATACATGCATGTCTGATTGTGTGAGTGCTTGCTTGCGTGGTGTGTACGCATGGCTACTTTCTCACGGCAGGCGTGGAAAGGATGGATGGAACATCAAAGGAACTTGGGACGCATGCATTTGCAGAGTAGCTAGCTAGAGAGAGGAGACCTACATTCCCTGCAAGGTTTCAATGTCGTATCGAATATACCATTAACAGCTGCACTGAACTTTGTTCTCTTTCTCACGCAACCGACTACTATTCTCGAGTAACTGGTAACAGAAGCCAAGTTAAGGGTCCGATGCATAAACCCTGCCTCTGAAGCACGATCGGCGGGGGCAACCCAACGTGTGTAACTTTCCGACGATCACCCATCTGGATGCTGCATCCATCATCAGAATTACCTCTCTTTAAAATTTCAGAGGTAGCTGCACGCACCGCCTACACTGCTTGCTGCGGGTTGACTAGCTGCTTACGACACCGTAATGAGGAGGGAGGGAGACAGACCTATGATACTGCTAATTAGACGTGATTTCTCTATGGAGGTGGCTGACATTACGTATCGACGAGGCATGCAATAATCGCCATGCAACCTTTTCTCCCTCATCGCGGGCTAATAATAATAAATAATTCATCGCGCGCTGTCTCACGCTGTTTACGTGAAATGCGTATCGCGGAGTATCGGTAGCGTTTACGGTAGCGGACAGGCGCGCGTCCCTGGTGGCCGCTCGCCAATGCACCTCATTTCAATTTAATTTGCACAATGCTCACGCTGGGCCCTCTCTGGGGCGATGTAAGGCAACCACCGACAGCCTAGCATCATATATAGAGGCACTTAGATGGCAGTTATCTATCTAAGAGATCGCGCTAGATCTCAAATTACGCGATGTAATGTAGTATTGATCGTCCCATCTGCCGAAGCAAGATAACCGCACCCCACTTGAATATTGTTGCTAGGATGGTGAAACTCACCCGGTTTGTATGCACACACACCAAAACGTCGAGTTCGCCATACTTTGTCGCTGAGCATTATATTTAAAACTTCCTATCGCAACGATGATGGGCTAAACCTGCCTTTCAATAACACTACGTCAATGGTTCTCAACCTCTTTTGAGTCAAGGCCCCCTTTGAGAATCTGCTAAAAGCTACGGACTCCTCCCCAGAAAAACGCACATAAGCACATAAGCAAAATTTTGCATGCACCTGGTTCACAGACCCCCTGAAGCCCATCCATGGACCCCAAAACCCACCATGGACGCTCGCGCGCACGCTACGCACCTTTCGTTGTGGCTCATGTCGCGGCGGCGGGCCGACGCAGCCATGATCGCGCGCGACCGCCCTTGCAGGCTGTTGTTCCCCGCGCCGTCGATATCGTAGAACTTGAACGTCGTCGGCACGTCACCCTTGCCGCGTCGCGACGGCGCGCGGTCCAGGTAGGGGTTGTACGCGGCGAAGTCGCGGTAGTACTGCTCCAGCAGCCAGGCGGCGGCGCGCTGCACGCTCAGCTGGCCCACGTTGTACGCGCGCCGCTCGCCATCCGGGGACCGCACGACCGTCACCGTGTAGGCGGTGCGCAGCTGCCGCAGCTCGATCAGCACGACGGCCAGGTAGTGCACGAAGAGCAGCGCGTCGACGAACGTTGCCGCGAACTGCACCACCTTGTGGTAGGCGTCGGCGCGACGCAGCCCCGCGACGGCGTCCGCGACCGCGTCAGCATCGTAGTAGTCGCTTGCCGCCGCCGCCGCCACCGCGAGGTCGGGGGCGCCGCCGTAGCCGGGCTGGCCGGCGAGGATGCGCACGCCGAAGAAGAGCCAGTAGCAGAAGGTGAAGATGAATGTGAAGACGAGCACGATGCCGCGCAGCACGAACACTCGCGGCATCGTGGCCTTCGGACGCCGGTAGAAGACGGCCCACGCGCCGATGCCGAGGATGACAAGCTTGAAGGCAAGACTCATGAGCAGGCCCTCACACGCCGCGTCGCAGCTGTAAACAACAACAACAACAACTATGATGATGATGATGATGATGATGACAAGCTTGAAGGCAAGACTCATGAGCAGGCCCTCACACGCCGCGTCGCAGCTGTAAACAACAACAACAACAACTATGATGATGATGATGATGATGATGACAAGCTTGAAGGCAAGACTCATGAGCAGGCCCTCACACGCCGCGTCGCAGCTGTAAACAACAACAACAACAACTATTATGATGATGATGATGATGATGATGATGATGATGATGATGATGATGATGATGACAAGCTTGAAGGCAAGACTCATGAGCAGGCCCTCACACGCCGC